GAGGCTATAAACAATTAAATGAATTATAATGCATGAAATGAAATATTAGAGAGTGATTGTGGAAACAAATTATTATAATCTCAATTATTTTGAGGCAGCCTTGATAAAAATTTGAACCAGAGGTCACAAGTTTTTCTTGGCAGAGGCTATAAACAATTAAATGAATTATAATGCATGAAATGAAATATTAGAGAGTGATTGTGAAAACAAATTATTATAATCTCAATTATTTTGAGGCAGCCTTGATAAAAATTTGAACCAGAGGTCACAAGTTTTTCTTGGCAGCTATTTAAAAAGCTATTAAAACAAGGGTAAATAAGGGAAAAGATAAGCAAATGTTGACATTCTAATTACCAAAAAATATAAGTGAAATCTACAGTGATTGTATATCTTGTTCTTACAGAGTTAAGTTTCTGTCTAAGACTATTAATGACAAAGGTTAAGAGGTTTCCTATAATATGGAAAAACTTGTGTTAATATCAAAAAGTTTGTGTTAATATGGCTATTGATTGTAACCTTGAGATTATGAACATTTGTTAGGAAACCACATTTGATATTTAGAAAACTGTTCATTTAAAGGAGTAAACTGTGTTTGCTTTAGAAGATTGATCTTTCTCATCAGCCTATGATGTTAACTTGCTCCTCCAGCCTACTTACTCACAAGTGCTCAAGGGTCAGCTAAAAAATTCTCAGGATAAACCTTTCAGCACTCATGTATGAGGGTGACAGTAACATTTCATCAGAATTTTATATCCTCAAAAATCCTTCATAGTATGCTCTAGCAAAATTCTTCATAAAAATCAATATTATCTCTCTGCCTGAGTCATCTAGTCTTCCACATCAAATTCAGGATGGGATCTTGAAAAATGACTAAGTTTTGATCATATGAGGGGTCTTCAAAAAGTTCATGGAAGGATTTATATTATCCTTTCATTCAATTTTTCACACACTTTTTGAAGTACTGTGGTACCTGAACAAAATTATTTTAACATTAATAAAGAAATCATGTGAACAAAGGAGAAGTGTCATGGGGATCCTAAAAAGTAGTCCACATATGCTCAAACATATGGGGAAGTGTTCAAGATACAGTGGTCAGTGAAAACCATCAGAAGGAAGAAGCTCATGAAGATGCTTCTCTCTTGCTGATGGTCCAGAAGTCAGCTCTGAAAAGCAATCAGTTTTTCCTCTGAAAAGATGCTCAACCTCACTAGCATTTAGGGAAATGCAAATTAAAACTTCAATAAGATGCCACATCTGTCCATTAGATTGGCAAAATTCTAGAAATTTGATTATACCCAGTGTTGGCAATTGTGTGTGACAGAAGATTCTTTCAAATGCTGTTTGCAGGAGTGGAAATTGGTATTACCTCAATATTGAAAATGCACATTCCCTTAATTTAAACAATTTCACTTATAGGAATTGATCCTCCAGAAACATTCACAAAGCTTTATAGAGATATAACAACTAATATTCACTTAATGTTTACTATATGCCTTGCACTGTGCTAAGTGCTTTTTATGCATAAACATTTAATCTTCGTCACAACCCTTTAATGCCCATAGCTAAATATCATACACATTATTCTAGGTGCTTAGGATACATCAGTGAATAAAACAGATGAGCTTGCATTTTAAGTGAGGAGACAGATGATAAATGTAAACATCGTAAATAAAGCATAATAATAATTTAAAATGTGATAAGTCCTATGAAAAAACAGATAGATGAAAAGCAAAGGAGATCAATTGCACTGGTGCGAGGCAGGAGGCAGGCTGCATTATCACATAGGGGCACAAGGTAGGTCTCATTGAGCAAATAAGAGTTAGGCAGTCCTGGAAGGAGGGGAATTTGTCTATGCAGATATTTGGGGAAAGAGTGGTCCAGGAAGAAGAAAAGCTGTAGTAGAGACCCCAAGGTAGGAGTGCATGTGGCTTATTCTAGGTATAGCCAGGAAGCTGATGTGGAGAGAAGAGTGAATTAGGTAAGTGAGAGGGAACCCAGAGAGGGAAAGGGGCCTGGATCATACAGGGCCTCTTATGACATTGTCGGGACTTGGGCTTTTAATATGAGAGCAGTGGGGGGCTGGTTTAAGCAGAATGGTGACATGACATGATTAATATTTATAGGGATTTGGCTGTTGTGTTGAGAATAGACTGTCAGGGAACAGGGTAGAAGCAGGGAAACCTTTTGGGAAGCTATTGCAATAATTTAGATGAGAGATGATGTTGGCTTGGGCCAGGATGGGAGCATGGGCAGTTGAGTGCCCTGTTAAAATTGGACCATGAAAGAGGTGGGGAGGGTTAGACTGAAAGAATGGGAAGATATTAAGGGTTTCATTTGTAATGAAAGCAAGTAACATGCATGCTGGAAGTAAACGAATGAGAAAGAACAGTAGTCAGAGAATGGATTTTTAGAACTCAAGGTTTTGGTGATGGAGCAGTTCTAACTGATGTCACAGGTCAGCTGTGCATGTGAGTGGCTGTAGGGGAGAACCAGAATGAGATCAGAAACTTTAATAATTTCCATAATTGTAACAATAGCCTGGGATTGTTGCATGAAAGTAAATTATACTAGAGAATTATAGTACTAAATAATATATATCATATATACAAATTGTTAATCATAGAGCAATTTTAACCACTGTAATAAAAAGTAGTTGGAGGTCCGGCCCCGTGGTGCACTCGGGAGAGCAGTGGCGCTTCCGCTGCGAGCTCGGATCCTATATACGGATGGCCGGTGCGCTCACTGGCTGAGCGCGGTGCGGGCGACACCAAGCCAAGGGTTGCAATCCCCTTACCGGTCACAAAGAAAGACAAAAAAAAAAAAAAAGAAAAGTAGTTGGAAGTAAGAATAAAAGCTGATTCAAACTGTTTCTTTGAAACAAGAATGGATGCAACAAAGCTGGTGAACTGGAATATCTGACACTGCAAGTATCCCATCTCTCACATGTACATAGTTGCAAACTAGAGTAAATTCTATAAAGCAACAGTGTCTACAGTTATGTGCATGGAATCTGAGGCCAATCAGGAAGCTGGCAGAGCATTATCTTTTACCTTTTTATTCTGACTTGTTTTGGGCTTTGAGGAATTTTTTCCTTTTTTGTGAAGGAGAAACAATGGTGAAGACTCAATGGGACACTCATAAAGAGAAGTGTGGACCTTTTCAGAATACTGCTGGAAATCTTCGACCTCCACATCTCTATCCAACCTGTTTGTAACAGAGGGAAAAAAAATAACAACTTTAAAGATATTATTCAGAATTCACAATGAAAACTATGTAAGTCAAAGAACTTTGGCAATTATATTTGTGGGCACGTGTGTGTGTGTGTGTGTGTGTATGTGTGTGTGTGTGTGTGTGTGTGTGGTGAGTCTTTCCCTGTTAAACACTATCTTAATCAGAACACTTTAAATTATCATTCAACCAATTAATCAATAACTACGTGCCTGGCACCACATTCTGACTGATGAACATCTTTTCCCTCAGCACACCCTGGACAATTGCGACCGCCTCTGTGTTTCTTAATCTGTATTAAATACCTCCCTTGCTTGTACTTGTACTCAAGGAGCCCTTTTTTGTTTTTGTTAAGGACCTAGATTAATGGCTTTGTTTAAAGTTATGCATTAAACTAACAAGACTTTCTTAAACTTCTAACAAGGATTTGAGTATGTTACTTTGTACTGTTAATACTAAGTACAAAACTAATTACGTCTAATATTTATAGATTGTTATACGCCGGGCACTGTGCAAGGTGCTTTATGCTCATTATCTCATTTATTCTTCATAACAATCTTACCAGGCAGGCACTATTATTATCTGCATTTTTCAAGTGAAGAAATAAAGGCTTACTCAGCCAAGGTCATAAAGAAATTAAAGGGTAAAAACCCTAACACAAACCCAAGTATGTCAGTTGTTCAAGCCCATGCAAACTTTTAATTGCTATCCCCTAATGGCTCTGATAAATTTCATAGTTCTCAGTTTTAATTATGCAAATATTTTCATTACTCTCTTGATCTTCTATATCAATCATAAAAATTTATGAATAATAAGAATTTTGTACCTGGTAAAGTAGGCATTACTTATACAGCCAGTGAAATTAGCATACTGGGGACTGATGGGTGAGCCACCGAAGTAAAACTTCTTTTCCCCTGCTGGTGTCTGTTCCGCTTTTGCTTTGGTAGGATTCTTACTCCCAAGTTTGCTTTTGTCTACTATCAGTTCATATCTGCGAAGGAAAAAGCTGCTTTATACACCACACAGCTTACATCTTACCTTGAGTTCTACTCTAGGTTGGATAAGCAGGTATTCTCATGGGTTTAAAATGGAGCATCTTTTAATGAAAAGATGACGAGTTGCCAAACTCTATGAGGCCTAGGATAAAATGGTTGAATATTTCCGTATGCAAAAAAGACCCTTCAAACCAATATTGGAGTTTAAAACCATAAAGCAGAAGTTTAGATGACTAGTCATCAGCATTACTTTTTTGTGGAGAAAACAGAACATACCGCATGGTGATTGTTTAATCATGTTTGTGGGAGACCATTTCCACTGTAAAGCACACTGGATGGTTTTGATCTTGATTGGAAAGAGTCTAGAAAAAGCCTACTAATGTTTTCTTTGGATGGGAGGACTCCACAGAAGTGGACATAGAATAGCAGCAGAGTCTGCAACAGAGGTTCATTTATAATTCCAGGGAGCTTTTTTATTATGAAAAAGAAATTCAGAGTTATATATTTTAAAGATGACATTGGAGCTTTTAAAATGTGGCCATAAATGTAGCGTTCTTAACTGTTTGATTCAAAATCAAAACGAGACCAATATTTGCTAAGCTCCTTCTATATGCAAAAAATTCAGCAAGTAGTTTAAGTAGGTACTTCCTGGATAACCTCTGTTTTACTGGAAATAAAACTTTATATTTCTGTTAAGTCATTATATAATGATTTATTTGGCATGTATTGAAAATTAATAGCAAGTTTTTTTTTTTTTTTAAAGAAGGTAAGCTATTCCTTCCACCATTTTTTTTAACACTAGAAAAGCAATAGGATAGCCTATTGCTCATGTTGATGTTTGACAGAATCATGTCCTACAGGTGAAAACTAAGGGTGGGAAGAATATAAAGTGAGGAGCTGTACCTCGTGGGTGAGACAGAGGTAATGACGAAGTGGGACAGCCCATCGTTGTACTGCTTATCTGCTGACTGAACCTTGATGCCCTTTACATCCAAGATGACAGTACCATTATCCAGTGAAATGGAAAACACGTCTGACTGAAATGCAAGCACAGGTTTTTAAGTAGGGAGTCAGGGATCCAAAGGATGGACATATTCTCAACATTTACTTAATGGTATTGCTTAAAGGAATACAGTGTGCAGGAAATTTGCTTATAAAACAATTTCTATGAACAACAACCAAAAATATCCTATTGCTTGTATTAGCATTGTTTATAGAATTAGACATATTTCAATGAAAAAAGAATCTTCTATATCTTGAACTGAAAATTCATGCTGACAGTTGTTGTCCCAGCCTCAGTTACTTTCCTAACTCAGGCATTTCTACTCCATAATCAGGCTTGCTTTTAATCCCTTTTGAAAAGACAGTACAGTATTTGGATCTTCTTGGGGATGGAGCTAGATGACTAGGCAAGGGTTAATTTGCTGGTTTGGCTTTTTAAATGCTTCATTTTTTCATCTATGAGGCAGAAGAGAAATTAAAAATAGAAGGTAACATTTCTTTTTCTGAATTTGCTAATTGCTTGTCTTAAAATATTGGCAAATGATACTCTTGCTTCTCTTTCCTTATATGGGCATCAACTTCTAAGGTTAGCCCTCAAAATAGGCTACTTCTTGTGGACAGAAAGTGTTATTTAACTAGCCAGGGTAATCTGAGGCAGGTTTGAGGGTAGACGTCCTACAGAATGCTTTGGGTAAATTCTCAGAGATGCTACTGCTTTAAATTGGACATAAATGTGACAGATGCAGGTAATATGTATGAAAAGTGAAAGCTGCTTTCAGAAATTGTATTATGACCTGGCCCATCATGTATATACTGATGATGACCTTTTCAGAGATACATCAGTTGGATCTGAGGGTCACCAATCCACTACAGATCTTATTTTATTCCTGAAATAACCTATCTTTATAAGTTAAGCTCAAGTGTTCTATAGCAAATCCAAGAAGAGAGAAGTATGTATGTTCTCATGTAGGAATACAAAGGAAACCAATTACATTGAAATACAGTTTACAAAATATTAAAATAAATCTGTGATATAGTAATACATGTACTTTATTAAGGCATTAATAAAATCTAGTAGCAGATCTAATAACTATCGTAATTTAGAAGTAGCAAAGAGAAAAAATGATTATTTTGAGATATCTGTGACAATTATATGAAATGAAAAATATCTAGATTTCTATTAATGACAAAGTCACAGGTACTGCAAATACTACTGTAGCTTGTTGCCTATATTCTTAATTAAAGAAAATAATACATTTCAGTTAGAGAAAATAAAGATGTAATTTTTTCCCCAAGTCCACAGACCCCCTGAATTCTATCTATGAACCCCTGAGGGGTGGTGGGTCTATAAATCGAAGGTTAAGAACTCCTAATGTACAATATATATATAATAATTTATAATGTGCCTGAAATGAGGCATTCTGTGTATATACGAGTTAAAATTAATCTGAATTGAAAATCACTTTTAATGTGTGTAAAAATTATTTTTTAACAGACAACACAATTATCACAAAGAAATTTCTTAAGGGAAAAACAAATACTTACCCCTGAAGTATAATAGAATAGTAATCCATTTGGCTGTAAAGTTCGGAAATTAAAACCTCCTTCAAAGCCATCAAAGAAAGAAATTTTCTGGATTGAAGCAATAAAACCTTGCCCATTGAAATATGCTCTGCGAGATATCTGTGTGTCCAAAAAAAAAAGAATACAGTGTTTTTGATAATTAACAGATGCTTAAAATGTCAATTTTTCACATATGAAGGGCCTTGCCTGTTAATTTCTATATGAATAGTTTACATTTCGAATTCTGGTTTGTGCTGGAATTCAGGCATGCTAGCCTTCCTTCTGNTCTCATGTAGGAATACAAAGGAAACCAATTACATTGAAATACAGTTTACAAAATATTAAAACAATAAATCTGTGATATAGTAATACATGTACTTTATTAAGGCATTAATAAAATCTAGTAGCAGATCTAATAACTATCGTAATTTAGAAGTAGCAAAGAGAAAAAATGATTATTTTGAGATATCTGTGACAATTATATGAAATGAAAAATATCTAGATTTCTATTAATGACAAAGTCACAGGTACTGCAAATACTACTGTAGCTTGTTGCCTATATTCTTAATTAAAGAAAATAATACATTTCAGTTAGAGAAAATAAAGATGTAATTTTTTCCCCAAGTCCACAGACCCCCTGAATTCTATCTATGAACCCCTGAGGGGTGGTGGGTCTATAAATCGAAGGTTAAGAACTCCTGATGTACAATATATATAATAATTTATAATGTGCCTGAAATGAGGCATTCTGTGTATATACACGAGTCAAAATTAATCTGAATTGAAAATCACTTTTAATGTGTGTAAAAATTATTTTTTAACAGACAACACAATTATCACAAATAAAAGAAATTTCTTAAGGGAAAAACAAATACTTACCCCTGAAGTATAATAGAATAGTAATCCATTTGGCTGTAAAGTTCGGAAATTAAAACCTCCTTCAAAGCCATCAAAGAAAGAAATTTTCTGGATTGAAGCAATAAAGCCCTGCCCATTGAAATATGCTCTGCGAGATATCTGTGTGTCCAAAAAAAAAAAAAGAGAATACAGTGTTTTTGATAATTAACAGATGCTTAAAATGTCAATTTTTCACATATGAAGGGCCTTGCCTGTTAATTTCTATACGAATAGTTTACATTTCGAATTCTGGTTTGTGCTGGAATTCAGGCATGCTAGCCTTCCTTCTGTGTTCCTCTAATGGACAGGGTTTCAGCTTCTCTGTGTTCTATACCCTGAGGGAGGAATGATGCTCACACAGTTTCTCTGGGCTTTGGATGCACCACCCATTGGAAACTGAAGAAAACGACTAAGTCACAGAGGAGCCCCACAAGCCATTCTAGCTTAATGACTCTTCTTACTCCTGGTGGCAGAAGGGAACCCAAGATGTTCCTTGGATTACAGATAAGCTGAAAAGAGCTTTTCCAGCTTTTGAAAGTGAAAAGTCTTGTGTCTGTTTATTAGAAAGCTTTTGACTGAGTATTACTTACAAGATAGTCTTCTGGGCATCCATAACCCACTCCCAGGGTTTCTGTTTGCTCCAGTAAATTGAAATCTTTCTTTTGAAACTGGAAACCCTTCATGCATCCTCTGAAGTTGGTATCTAGGGGGAGGTGTGCTCGTAGGGTCCTGGAAAAGACAATCAGTCTTCAGTGACACAGCCATAATGATAACGAGGATGATACCCTGCATAAGTAGGGTATGGAATTTGAGTTTATTAGTAGTCATTTGTAATAGATTTATAATCATCCATATTCTCATGCTTTCTTTGATAAGTACAGGAATGTCTAATCTTTGCCTATAGAATAGTTTTGTTCTGAGTCAAGCCAAATTGTTTACTTCTTTATAGTTTTCAAAATCTTTTAGCTTATATTATCTTGTCTTATCTTGATAACAACTCACTGAGAAAGATGGAGATGCTATTGTTTCTCTTTTATAAATAATTATTAGGTTGAATCGTAGAAAACTGGTCAAAAATAGTCAACTGTTGATAATTTCGCAGGGTTTAACCTGTAAAATGAAACTAAGAAGTAAATTACTCTCTTACGTCACAAGTGGTAAGAAAGGATTTGAACCCAGGTCTTCAGACTCCCACTAATTCACTTAGGTAATGAACCCATCTTCCCGGCCTTATTTGCAACACATTATAATCAACTAAAGCTAGAGGAATGTCTTCGTGTATGTTGGGCTTTTGCATCAATAGGAAAGTAAGAAATCCATTATCCTTAAGAGTATTTTGTTTAATACTATAATCCTAGTACCTATTGTGCCTCATGTATAGGAGGTGCCCTAGAACATATTATTGGATATTGAGTAAATATAAAATTAATTTTGATCAAATTACACTGGCTTCAATGTATTTTAGATGAACAATGTCCAAACTAAAGGGTAACAGCCCCACAGTATTCCGCTCTGACCAGATCACACCTGCAAGACTGTGCTAATTGACAGATTGGAGTGCACATAATGGCAACCATACTAGTTAAAGGTCCCATGTGCATGGAACTGAAGAGACTCTTTCATTTGTAAAGAAAGCTTGGGTGCCTTCTTAAATATGAAACATTGCAGCACGGAAGGGGAATGGCACTGGTTTTGACCCAAGATAAGGAAGAGCTTTGTATCATTAAAAATTGATTTTTTTTCTTTCTGAGGTAATCATATATATATATATGATTATATATCATATATAGTGATATATATGTTTATATATCACTAAATTTATTCAAAGAAAGGTGCAAGGGCTAATGGAGAGGGGGATTCTTATTGAATAAGGGGTAGGACTCTATCAGCAGTTCTCAGTACAGTAGAATCACCTGACTTGGGAAGGGTTTTCTTTTTCTTTTTAAAAAATATGTTGGGGCCCTTCCCCAGGCCAGTTAGAATTTCTGGAGAGTAGTCACAGACAATGGCATTTGTAAAATCTCTTCAGTTTATTCCAATGAGAACCATGGTTGAGAACCACTGGACTGGATAATCCTAAAGTTGCCTCTCAGCTATAAGGGTCGCTAATGCTATAAATTTATTGCAATAAAAGCTGAACTTTTGAATATAGTAGAATAGTGTTTCATTATACATAATCCACAACCCCTTTAATAATCTTAAAAATTTTTGTACTCTCAAGTTAAGGCCAAAACAAAAGTAAAGGGACACAGTGCTGCTTTGTTTTCACGTAATACACATGCTCCTCAGTTCCTCTTGCTGATGAAAAATATTGCATTAGACTATGCTCTAAGAGTAATACAATACTTGGAGAAACCTGTAGATCACACGTACAGGTGCTAATTTCAGGAGATCATAAGGACTGGCTACAGAGGGCTGGCTGGTGCATGAATGTGTGTGCTCGTGCACGTACATAAAAGTAGCAAGTGGGTAGAGCTTAAACCTGTTCCTAGATCTCTCCCGGATGTTGAATACTCAGCCCAGTACATTAGGAACAAACAGCTATTTAACGAAAATCCTCACCTGGATTGTAATACTTCTGGGGGAGCTCCTCCAATGTATATATCTGTAAAAGGTATTTTCATCTTTTCATTATCCATGCTCTTGACATGTCG